GCCTGTTAACTTATGCCAATCATATGCAGCAAGTTCACGAGGATACTGTAAAATAGCTCGCAAGTGGATGATGAAGAATTGCAAAAAAAGCTGTGACTTCTGTGTAGTCGAGACCTGTGATAAGCCAAAAGTTATTGATGGAACAGTTTTGCCAGCCTTGAACAAAGTCCCCGTAGATGAAATCTACAGAGTTACATGCTATGAAGGGTTTGTCCTCTCCGGATCTAACGAAATCACCTGTCAGGCAGGCGGACAACTTTCTGAACTACCAATTTGCCTGCCTGACCTGTTTACTCTGCGGCCAGTTTCAGTTTCACCGACTACAGAAGCGACATCGTCAATTAATGATTTTACAATTAAAAATTAATATTACATTCAACCAGACTCATGTGTCATGGCTAGGCTAGGTGAAAGCTTGCTACTCATTTTATACATCGTTTTTTTTGTTTTCTCATCATCTCTTTTCTTTTCGGGAACGAATAAAAAGTAAAACAGCAAAACAAATGTGCGGGAAGTAAAGAAATGGCACGCCGCTCGCGGTTAAGTTAATATCAAAATAAACAAAAATTGCGCCCGTTGTTTCGTTTTGGCGGACGCTATATTTTCATTTCCTATAACTATAAATATAAGCTCTTATATATATATAAATATATTATCAGCTCACTTCATAATAATAATATTGACACACATCAGTAAACTACACGTGCCAAAATGGGCCATAGTATATTATACATTAAAATACATTCGCGCCGCGCATTCATTGTCCACAGTCTGGCTATAATACACCACATCTCCGCAAGCAATCCTCAAGCGCGCGGCTTTTTCGTTGCATGGCAACGGACGTAAGGACTGACGATATATTTAAACCCACCTACCTCGTTCTCCAAAATCCAAGTTTTTCTGCAAAAACGACCATTCTTAACCTTTCAGTTTCACTATTGCCTCTTTACAAAAGGGTGAAATGAAAAAAAAAATGTAAAGACAAGACATAATAATTTGCCAATTAACGTTGATTCACGATGTCAATCCTTCGCAGCTCGGTGAAGCACAGTGGTGCATCTTGCCGATCTACCGAAGAAGAATTATTTGATGCGCGGCGCGACCCAGTAGTGCATCGCGCTACAAGCCACACGTTGTGTCGTTGTATACTGCATTTGGCCGAGGCGCACTTCTCGCGCGAAGTATGTTTCAGATTAGATGATAATAGATAATAAATAAAAATTTGTTGAATTTGTCAACTGTGCCGCGCATACATGTTTTTGTTTGTTATTGTTTGATCTCTTTGCTAATTTGAAATGGTTACGTTCACTTACAATTCAGCTAACTTTGATTGACAATGTCAGCCCATCGAAATATTTAATGCATGGCAATTGGCATTGATTCACGATGTCAATCCTTCGCAGCTCGGTGAGGCACAGTGGTGCATTTCGCCGATCTACCAAAGGTGGTTGCGAGAGGAATTGTAGCGCGATACACTACTGGGTCGCGCGCGCATCAAATAATGCCTCTCGCAACCACACGTATGCAGATCGGCGAGATACGAAGGATTGACATCGTGAATCAACGAGAAGAATTATTTGATGCGCGGCGCGACCCAGTAGTGCATCGCGCTACAACAATTGGCAATGCAAGAATGATAATTCGCGCGGCGCGTCGACGCGGCAAAGTCCTCAAAAACTGACTCGCTATACCTCAACAGAAAACACATAAATACATATATGATCTAATTTGATATGTATGAAATAGTTTTGTAACTTGCTTGATTCTGCACTAAGGTAACGAACTGTATCGATCAAAATTGAACGAGAAATCGTTAAAGCTAAAATTGCACTTTCGATGCACTTCGACAAAAGTTACTCACGCGCACGATATTGTGCTTTTTACTTAGAAATAAGTATTCAGTGTAATATATTCACATAATATATATGCATATATTTACATAATATATATATGCATATATTGATTTTAAATGCAATGCAAAATATTTGATCTCGATTCATTGAAAGAAGTTACTACAATCACAATGCGTGCAATTTGGGGACTGTCTTTTCGGTGGGGATATAAACTGCGCTTTTGTAATGACCTTGCTATTCAAACCTTTTCATTTTTATTTTCTCCGAATGGATATATTAGTAATTCGATTTTAGAATATGATCACTTTTGTAGCACGCGCGTAGCAATACATACAACTTTTTATGTATTACTATTTGCATCTTATTTACTGGGCCGCGCTCAGCCTGTCATTCCGCCAAATCTATATTCTATGTTAATGAACATAATAGCCTGGGGTCCTCAGGTAACATCTTATCTGGGTTGACAAAAATTTTACTTTTTTGGATTTCACTTATAACCTCTTATCTGACTGGAAAGGGTTGGTTGATAATTTATTCCTTTATCAACAGATGCCTGGAATCTGGACGTTTTATCCACAGGCTGTTTCGAAGCACCAGTCTATACTTACTATACCTACTATATCTTGATGTTGAGTATTCTCATCAAAATTTCAAACCGTACAACGAGTCTAACGGTTATTCTTCTAAATAAATCAAATACCTTTTTGTTTTAATCCAGCCAAGCTTTGGAGCACTGTTCATAAACAAATTTTCAGTTCAAGCCATAGCCTAGAAACTTCCATTAGCTTGATAAAATTGATAACCAATGCACTATTAATACAATCACAGGCTGTTGACTTTAAAGATACTTGTATTGGACTCCAACATCCAAACAATTTTAAATTGCAGTAATCTAATTGCAGCGGCACACACTTACTATTACTATCGTGACTGTGCTATAGACTGAAAAACTCTCAGATCGATTTTGGGCGTTTTTAAACCCTTGTAAGGTTTTAATTTATTCGATAGGTTAGTCTGATATTGATATTGATATTGATTATATTGATATTGTTATTATTGAATGAAGCTGACTCCAGACATAAATAATACTACTTCTTTTAATAAAGGGACTTTGAGTATAAACGACCCAGTTTACATAAATTTCTATCCAACCAAGAAATCAGGAGGCAAGGGTGGATGAGTAAACTTCACGGTCTACACTCTCCGATCCTGTATCACCCTGGATCCTTTTGGACGTATTTTTGTAAAAGGTATATCTGGTATAAAGGTCCTGCTAGTTATATATAAAATATATTTTTTGTCTGCTTTAATTGATACCAAATAAAATTGTTGTTTTCTTGAAATTGTTGTTTTCTTGGAGCAGAAAATGCTCGTAAAGCAGTCTAACACAGAGGCGGCTATTGAGGGCGTCCAGGCGTCCGTGGACGCCCTAAAATTATTATCTGGTGGCTGGTGCTTAAAATAGAAATAGTAATTAGTAATAGTGTTAGGAAATAACAAATCGCAATATAAAGCTCTTTATTCACTATCATACGTTTAATGTAAGCGCACGCATGATCTTCGTGAAATTTTGCGTTGTAGGGAGTCCAACCCTACCATTGGACTACTCAGCCGCGCAGTTTTAACACATAGTTGATTGTAAACGTTACAAAGCACATCGTGCGCATCCCACTACAGGTAATCTATTATGATTTGCTCGATTTGAGGGTCCAGGACCCTTTGCAGTTTGAACTATTGACTGCTATGATACTGCGCGGCTGAGATCGTACACGTGTGGTGTCCTGTTTCAACCATGTTATACGTTTTTGTTTTTGTTTGCTGTCGCCTGTAAAGGGTTACACATTACATATAACAATGCCCTGTGTGTAATGTAATCGGTAGTTTGGAGGGATCAGCTTGAGCCGGCTCCCAAGCCCCCCTCCCCCCCCCCCCCCCCCCCCCCCAGTCCATCGATTGGACCCCCAACAAAACTGCCAGCCAGCTCCCACGAGCCGCCTCTGGTCTAACATATAGCCCAAAAGTAAATTGCCTCCTGAATTCTTGGTTGGATAGACATTTATACATATCCATAATAAATTATCATAAATGTGATATTTGATAATTTTGTAAGAAAGTTTACCTCATATTTCAAAAACGAAGGCAAAATTTAAAATTTTGTTACATAACGATTTCAACGACAGCCCAAGGACCACATGTGCCAAGTTTCAGGGCCTGGGTTTGGCAGTCTTTTCCAAAAGTTGAGCTTTACCTTTTTTGAGTTAAAGTTTTACATGTAATTACTGGTGAACCTCAAACTTTGGCGTGCAATATCTCAGCAACGCCAGGTCAGATTTCGATGCAGTTTTTCCTGCTTGTTCATCTCCAGCAGCTCTCACATGTGATGACTGGAAAAATAATTTCCCCCTCTAGCCATGGGTTGCATGCTTGTGTTAGTTTTCGATTCAATTCCATGTGATATAAATTTGTGTAGCTTGTTGTCCGCATTGGTTGATAAATTGTAAATTGTTAATCGATTGCAGTATATTAGAAGGTGGACTGTATTGCAGTTTAACCTATTACAGTTTAACCAATCCTAAAAACCTATACTCCAGGTTTATTGAGACAAATTCTTCCAAGTTAGAGCCTATTTCTGTATGAATTTTAACAGATTATAAATTTAATCTTGCTGAGGAGATTCAAGTTACTTAGGTGTAATTTTACAAAATAAACATTTAAAATTAAAAAGCTTGCTACACGGTTTTTTTCACCTGCTTTTTTGTCACCTGTGTATTCTTGCGAAAGGTTAAGTTTAGACTACTGATTGCAATGATTGGCAGGCAGCCAGGCACACTAGCACAGTAGGAAGGAAAGGTACAGATTAACCTTTTTTGGTCAGAGACACTCATAGAATTATCTGTAACTTTGAACTGCTGCCAACTGTTGATTAATTACTACAGCTGAGTATAATATATGCTGCTCTCACCATTTATATGCTTCAGATTGTTAGTTTGGGTTACTTCCAAGTGGTGCGTAAATGAAGTCACATAACTTGTAAATGCACTGATCCAGTGCATGTATGCAGATCTCCAACTTTTGTAACTTTTTCACAATCTGTTTGCAATATATCATCTTTATATTATCATCTTATCTCATTCTTAACCTGCTTTATTCAGTAGCTAGCTCAAAATGTCTCTAACCAACGACATTGACGAATCCCTTAAAGAAAAGGTTTGTATATTTTACCACACTGATTACTAATGTTACTATAGTTATATGTAACTCTTCCTCACAATCGTTTCAAATAATTTTACTTCCATTTTAAATAAATGCCTTGTCTGTTGATCTTTAGATCTATAGGTAACAGTAACTCAACGTCCTAAAATACAGAAGAACAGTGTTAGTTCAGAAGAACGCTCAGTAAAGACAGCAAGTGTCTTTGGAGGTGACGATGCTGTTGACATCGATGCTAATGTGCAGTATGCGGGTTAGTGGGAATTAGTAACAGTATGTAATTATGCAACACATGATTATTGAGTGCAACTTTATTGTGGGCTATCGAGATGATCTAAGAATAAATTACAAAACTCTAATTCTAAAACTCCAATTCTAAAACTCTAATTTCTGAAACACTAATTTCTGAAACTCTAATTCTAAAACTCTTATTCTAAAACTCTAATTCTAAAACTCTAATTTCTGAAACACTAATTTCTGAAACTCTAATTTTCTAAAAAAACAGATGGTTTTTGGATTGCTGGCTCCATATTGATCTACCCAAAACCTTGAAAATATTCTGCATATAGTCATATATTTATCAACAGGTATGCTCAAGAAGCCTCCATTTGGCACCAAGTCGTATGGAATGCTCACAAGATGGACTGAACGGTTTGTAATTTTCTGATGTTTTTCAAAATACAATATTCATGACATTACCGTTCAAATAATAGCTGCAAATTTACTTTAAGTAATGTAACATCAGCACAATTAACTGTGAAGAATAGTTCTGAGCTCTGAACACTGACTAATGTGCGTCTTAACGTACAGGTGGACTGAACACAAAACTTTAATGATCAATGCAATAAATAACATAGGTTCTGTGTCGTAAAAGAGAGTTTCCTCCTGTACTACGACAAGTCGGAAAAGAAACATTACGAGTCCAAGAAAATGTTCAACATCCATCCCAAGGTATTTTGACACTTAATATTCCATCAACACTGATAAATTCTTCATTTTAAAGCTTGCTACTTGCTTTGGTTTACAGTGTAGTTTTAGAATAATTTAAACCGGGTTAAGTTGTCCAAATCCTGACTACATAGCATGTAAGCGTAAGGTTGCATCTCAGTTCTCAATAAAAAGCCCAAATTAGATAAGTTGGCTTTGTAAAGATTACAAGATTATGCTATTGTTATTTAATTTCTTGTTTAATATTGCTTGTTCAGGGCGTAATACCATTGGCTAATTGCCACATAGAAAAGTGGGATGATACTGGAAAACCTGGCTTCAAAATAACACACGCTAGTTTCAAAACAGTAAGTTTAACTTTGGTTAAATGTTTCCTCTTGATCGCTAATGTATCTTCTCTTGTTATACTCAGGAACCCGTTTCTTTTAAGCTGCAATTCGTTTTATTTGCAGTAATTTCACTTTGGAGTTACTTTTTGTCATTATAAACGTAAGTTTAGTAAATTGACATTTTTTTTATAGATGTTGGTTCAATCGCTTCTTCAATTTTTAATAAAAAACACCTTATTTGGACAAAAACTGATCACTCAATTATACCGCCCACAAATCCTAATTACTTTGAACTTAATTTATTGCCTTATATGCATAAAAACTAATTTTTACTGCAATATGGCTTTAAGATATTGTTAAAACTGTTAAACTGTTCGTTTGAGAAGAAGAATCCCGCAATACGCATTATTTTCTGTAAAAAATGCAGCAACTTCTATGCAATATAATACCAACAATACCCTATTGAAGTTTCATATCATTAAGATGGTTGAAATACCCGACCTTGCTCGTTGACAAGCGTGTGTAGGATACATACTTGCACCGAATTCCAGCAAATATTTCCAAGAAGCCTCGCCGTAACAATATTAATGAAGGTATTTTAAACAAATATCCTCCGCACGACGGATCAGACTGACACAGCACTTTAACAGTACGAAGCTAAAGGTTCAGATAGTATTACAGAGGCAGCTTCAGGTTCAAAGCGCGGCAAGGACCGCAAGGTGTCGCTTGCTAATATGTCTATCAGAAAAGAAGCTTCTCAGGAACAGATCAAAATATCCGCTCAGAACCTGTCTGAAGTAGGCTTTATTAAATTATTTAAGTTAATATAAGTTTACGCAATTTCTTAAAGTTGGCATAAGAGCTCAATGAATCGAGTTGGATATCTGCAATCGCTTTCGCAAATTTCCCAAACATGATTTAAGGTTGTACTCATAATACAGCTTAATTCCCTGAAAAAAACTGAGCTGAGGCCTACTGAAGAGGTCAGAAAAGAAGTCCTGTACCCATTAGCTTTACAATTGAACTTGTTTACACTCAGTCCTCAGATCATCTATTTTTACGATAACAGGCCCACGTGCTTAACTACGTGTAAAACTATTTTGACCCATAACGTAATGCTCTCTTAAACTCTATATTATGCGAGTTTGATGCAGTAACACTGTAACTTATGTAACATCAATACAATTAATTATGAAGACTAATTCTGAGTTCTGAACCCTGACTTAAGTGCGTCAAATCCTAACGAACAGAGTAAAGTATTCAGACTCCCTGACTAGGAACCAGCCCAGACCACAGTTAATATACACATCTGACAGTTTTATTACGGTATCATTACGGTATCGTCACGGTATCATCACGGTATCATTACGGTATCGTTACGGTATCATTACGGTATCATTACGGTATCAGCAGTTATCATGTTTAGTTACTAGCTTCTAACCGACTAGTTGCTAGCTTGTAACCGACTAATATCATTATATTATGACGAGGGTAATTACACTGTTAGTCTTTAACAGGGTGTATCTCAGTAACTTACTGAGATACACCCAATACTCTTGAACAGAGTGTAAGGGTGTTGGATATTGAGACACATTAGGTTTTAAGTTTAATAGTCAAATATTCGCCTGCGGATACAACTTTTACTTACATAGCTAAACTTTGAATGTTTAGTTAATAAGTGAACTGCTTCTAAGAGGTGATTTAATTTACTGGTCAGATAAAATCAAATTATACTAAAAGCAATCATACATGACTAGAAAATTAAATTTGACTAGAAAAGGAAATTTAAAGTTAGATTAATAACGAAACACATTCCTTAAACCACTTGATGATTTAGGTAACCCAGACTGACGGACCTGTGGTAAGAAGTGTGCACAAGGAACACAAGTTCTTGTTGTTTTACATCTAATATAACTTTATAATGTGCAACTATCATCATGGTAGGCCTGCACACAGCTGCATTCAGAGCTGTTGATTTTCTCAAGTGTTTCCTAATCGAGTGTTAATTTGTCTTTGATTTGAGTTGGTTCCGCGCTGAGTTGTAATTATTATTTATCGGAACACTCCCCTCTAGCTCTGTGTTTTGGAACAGTCTAGCTCTTTTTAGTTTTATACTTACTTCTTTAATTATGTAAGTTTAGAGTCAATTCTTATATTGTATTACATACTATACTTTCAAAATGGTCAGATTACCAGTCGAGTCAATTTAAACAGTGAAAGCCATGATAAAAACATGTGTGGTGTATTGGTTACACAACAGATTTGACAGTTAAACTGTTTGATACTGTGTGGGGAAACTACTCCTCAGTTTCACCGGGATTTAAAGAGACTAATCTCCCCCATTTCTTTTTCTCCCCTCCTTCCTTTCCTCTTTTCAAGTGAAACTAGCCCCTCAATAACCCAGGATCTTGAAGATGGACCAACCCGGATGTTTCGCAATAGCTCCATGTCCATTGCTGGAGCGCTGCGGCGTGCCAGCATGGTCCGGCGCAAACCCGCCGCTGATGGTGACTCCGCCTCCGTGAGTGAACAACCCGGAAAAGACGTACGTCAGTCTCGTTTAATGTCTCTTATTGAGCGCGAATGTCTGAATGTATGCTCTATCTCTGTCTTAGTGTGTGAATAAAGTGTGCATGAAAACCAGTCTTACTCAATGAGAGTGTGATTGTGAGAGACTGATCTTACTTTGTGTGATTAAAATGTGAAAAATGTGTGAATCTCTGATGATTAGTTCTGATATTCTTGTTCTGTGTCTTCGTTATCCCTGTTGGGTGATTTATCAGGGGTATCTTACCCTCTCATTTATTAAAGATTCATTAGATTTACTTATATACAAGAGAATTATGAGTGAACCTTAGTGTGACACAAGTCAGCTAGCTTAGTAAGCTTAGTACCTTTATAAGCTAGCTTAGTAGCTTAGTGAGCTTAGTACCTTTATAAGCTAGCTTAGTAGCTTAGTGAGCTTAGTACCTTTATAAGCTAGCTTAGTAGCTTAGTGAGCTTAGTACCTTTATAAGCTAGCTTAGTAGCTTAGTGAGCTTAGTACCTTTATAAGCTAGCTTAGTAGCTTAGTAAGCTTAGTACCTTTATAAGCTAGCTTAGTGAGCTTAGTACCTTTATAAGCTAGCTTAGTGAGCTTAGTACCTTTATAAGCTAGCTTAGTAGCTTATTGAGCTTAGTACCTTTATAAGCTAGTTTAGTAGCTTAGTAAGCTTAGTACCTTTATAAGCTAGCTTAGTGAGCTTAGTACCTTTATAAGCTAGCTTAGTAGCTTAGTGAGCTTAGTACCTTTATAAGCTAGCTTAGTAGCTTAGTAAGGTTTATTTAGTGAGGGTGTGATAAGTCAGCTGAGAGAAACTGTGTATTTCGCTGCAGAAAGCTGGCCCTACTGTATATGTCTTTTTTAATTTTACAATTTTGCTTCTCCCCCTGATCATGTCTGCAATGTCACTAGGTACTGTCCTCACCAGTACCTCATGGTACCTTTGCCAGGGTACTTTGGTAGAGCACGTAAAGGTACCTCCAGTGTATAGCTGAATGTAGCTGTATTACTGGAGAGAGTGTTAATTAATGCACCCTGGGCTACATTCCCATGTTAAGAAGAACCTTATAGTCTGGTCTGACATTATATGACGTCACCATTCTATGACGTCATCACTCTATGACGTCATCATGACGTGGCAATTAGAGACCACAGTCTGCAGAGCCCAGCTGTCACACGAGGACTTAGTAGTTGTAACAAAACGTAAGTAATAACCAAGTCAATGGTGATCACGTGCTGGGTCGCTGCTAATTGTTACATATTTCACATATAATATTCTCATATCTGCACGTCTACAAGGCGTGACGAGGTTAATTTTTAGTTCATATTATCTTGATATTTATAATATTCTGTAAATTAACTTATTCAGTAAATTAACTTGTTCAGTAAATTAAATTATTCTGTAAATTAACTTATTCTGTATCCCCATTCCCCAGCGACTTATCAGTGGCAGCATCTTTAGCACATCAATGATCATTTCTCTAGACTTTATAAAGGCATTGATTGTAAGCACTTAAGTAGATAATATATATGATATATAATATTCACCAGACATTATGTAATATAACTGGTAAGATATTGTACTAAAACTCCGGACCGGTTAAACGGCAATAGTATTATATCCTCAGCAAGCTTTACTTATGGTAAAACATACTTTAATAGTTTAGTAATATTCCTGGGACAATAGAACTAATACTAATTGGATGCAATATATCTAGTGTTAGCTAATCATTTAATGGCGGTCCCTTATTTCTAATTCAGGATGATAAACTGCTGAGTGACCTACAAAAGGAACACTCACACAGAAAACAGTACACTTTACCTTTTATTTATAGTGTTATAGTGTAACAATCCGGAGCCTAAAACTTTGGGGAGAAATGCCCAGATAAATTCTCTAGAGTCTGTTTGAATCGTCAGATTTAGTCTCAATCACGTGTTAAATTAGAGAAAGTAGCGTCCTCTTATGTGAGTGTGACCGTTATAGTTAGAACAGTTCTCTCAACAGGATACTGGATACCGGGTACACTAACAGTACGCATTGTATGTGTCCTAGGTACGGAACATTGCCTGTAACACGGGTCCGCAAAATATTGTGCTAAATTCCGGGGCTCAGCTACCTGCTACATATTTACATGAGTTTTAACTTAAACTGGTCTGGAGTTAAAGCACTGTCAGGAGCTGCTGATCAGCACTGAATGTAGAGTTACCAGCACACACCACCGTCTAGTACAACACTAGATATATATCTCTATCTTGTTAACAGGAATTAATGTGGAGAGTCAAGATCTCTCTCCGCAGACATGTGCTCCTTCATAAAACATGCCAATGTAAGAAGCTGGTTCAATAATCTGGCTCTCAGATTACAGAATAATTGTTAAAACGCTGTTCGGAAGCTGTCAACAGAGCGGCAGCTCTAATACCGGGCACTGTGTCGTGTTAGTTACCTAGGACCATTTCACTGGGGATAAAATAGTTGGCAGCGAGTGTGAAGTTGTTGGGAACGTCCCTTGTAGTAATAGTCACCTGTTAAACAGCCATCGCGGGGGATAAGAAGTTAAAATATATTCTTCACTTGGTTTTAAAATATGTGGAGTTGTTACACGGTGTACATTGAAGGAGAAACCGTTGGAATGACATTGTTCAGATACCAGAGTGAAGAGATACAAGAGAGATGTAACCTGGCACACTATTTCTAACACCACTCGGATAAGGAACACCGCGCTATTTGGCGGAGGCATCCTAAATATTACAATAATTTGTCGAGTTTCTAAATAAATATCTGGGACAGTTTCTAAAAAGTAACTGGTAGTATTTGGAAGCAAGATCTCCATGTAACATGTCTCGGTAACCATGGTAACACGTCTCGGTAGTGTTGACTACCTGTCAAAGTACTCCGCTAGGTTAGTAAGCTTAGGCGTGGCTCATATTATATCGATAACTCTGCTCTGCTAACGATAACTTTTTAGGAATATTCGTTTGAAAAGTGTGCATGAGATCATTATATTAGCTCGCCAACATGCTCAGCTACACAACTTATAGGGAGTCAGAAGCCATTCAACAAATTCTATTCCTCGCAAAAGCCCTTAAAAGGAAATATAATATGATATTTGAAAACCGCCCTCTGAAACATGTGCTCGTTCATAAAACCTGTCGGACAGGTGGAAAAAGCATTTTGATTGGAAGCACTAAAATAACAAATTATCCTACTTGTACTGAGATTCACATTTCTTCCTACACCTGTTCACACAATTGTGTGATTTCGTGTTATGTGCTGATTTTACAACTTCTATTTAATCAGTTAGCAGTATAAATTGACTGCACAATTTACCGTTTATATAAACGACATGAAGGAAGTGGTTACTAACCACAAGAAAAAGTATTTCTTGAGATAATCACCAAGGTAACCACGTTGGTAACCAGCTATTAACCATGGTAATTAATTAATTAATTACCATGGTAATTAATAGTTTACTTAGTAAGAATAAACCTCTTAATTCAGGGTAACTTGGTGATGGCAGCGAGGAGTGCAGACGAGCGAGACAACTGGATAAAGATCCTTCAGGAATGTAGTAAAATGTGAGCAATGTTACATTTTACTAGTTATTTTAGGTTTTGTACGTGGCTTTGCGTATGAAGGAGTCTGAAGATGGCATCTGGCAGCATTTGATGGTATCTGGCCGCGGTATACGAATTACATTTTTGATGTTGGCAGGCTTCCAAAAATGCATTTTCCATGTACTCCTTGCAACCCGCATGTTAAAGCCTTACAAAACATTGAGTTACTTCGTGTCTAATTCTGCAATACTTTCTGCCTTGTTTTTAAACTATGCAATATCGATCAATCACTGTGCGTTCTTTAGACCACGTGACCCGAGCGCGCCAATCACAACACGTTTAAAATAATCAAACTTACAAAGCTCAGCATAGTATAGACTTCAGGCTGCCAGACTCTGCAACTTGGTTCAACTCCAGCTGCACATAAAATATAATAACCAGCTACTAACCGATATCTCTTTGCACGTGTTATGAAGCGCAGCTACTAACAGATATCTCTTTGCACGTGTAATGACGCGCAGCTACTAACAGATATCTCTTTGCACGTGCAATAACGCACAGCTACTAACAGATATCTCTTTGCACGTGTAATAACGCGCAGCTACTAACAGATATCCCACAGCACGTGGAATAACGCGCAGCTAGGAGCAGCACAGATAAAGCAGTTAGAAGAGAACACGAACAGAATTAACAAAGAGAAAACAGAGTATATCGAGAAGTTAAATAATGAGGCTGAGGCTCTGAAACACGAGACAGGAAAGAAGGTTTGTTTGACACTGTCTCTTTTAACATATAAAAGTCATAAATTTGGAATAAAAAACACATATAATATACTACTAAAACTTTTGCCTTACCTAATCAAAGGTGTATAGTGTTTACAGTTAAAATATTGGTGTTACTCTTTTCAAATAATCCCTTATTTTCCCTAAGAAAGTTCTAGAAGATCGGTTGATCAGTATAATACAGACTATCTATTATACAATCTATAACTTTTAAGTTATTATATTATTACATAACTTTATTCAAATCAATATTAGAACATAAATGAACATCTTAATAAAGATCTGAGCATGAAAATGATAAATACTGAAACTGATACATAAACTTAAAATTATTATATTATATTATTACATAAAGTTTATTTTAGGATAAATAATGAGTAGTTACAAGTGTCATCTAAAGAGTTTATTCCTTTAAAATCGTATAAAGATTTCCCAGAAAATGAGCTAATAAATATTAATGCGAGCAGCACTTGTGAGGGAACGTTCCAGAACTAATTATGATTTTAAAGGCATATTAATATTATTTGTGTCGGTAACCTTGTACACGTAAGATGCGTTGTCCCTGAGATTAGGTAATATTAGCGTATTCGTAATATTTCACTACATTGGTTAACGTTATCTTCGTTGTAAACACCGGGTAAAGTTTCATAAAGTTAAATTAATAAACACAATTACAAAAATTACAATACTTATTTCTAAATTTCATTCCTTTTATCATCTACAGAATTCGAAAGGTTTCGAATAATTTCTGACGCGAATTCCGACTTTTGCTTTACCTGACATCCTATTATCTTACTATTTATTCTTATTTCTTATATCCTTATCTTGTTATCTGATTACAGGAAGAGTTGGAGAAGTTGTCTAAGAAGTTAGAGGAGGAGAGGGCGGCAATGGAGAACGTTGCAAATCAGTTTAAAGAAGAGAAGGAGATGACCGCACAGTGAGTAGAATTAGAAACATGGTTGGGGTGGCATGTGTAATACACATTATGTATCTAGTTGTCTGGGATAATTAGTTAAGTAATTTGACATTTTCCTCAAAAGATTCATTAAATGGATTTAAATCTTAGCTAAGACCCTTGTATTAGCATCAAAGTCTGGTAAATAATTTACGTAAATTCAACGCCAATTTTATAAAATAATAAATTTCGTCTGTCTGAACTCTGGTTGATGTTGTGGCGCCTCATAGTAACGCTTACTAAAATGATATCCACTACCCATATCTTATACATGTTATAATATATAGTCGCAATAACCAAATCTCAAATATGCCGATTACTTGATACACGTCAGAGAAGGAAGATCAATCGTCAGAGAAGGAAGATCAATCATTGCACAATCCTACAAGCTTCATGCTCGATATCTCACCTCATCCCGGGCCTAAATACCAATTATTTAATCCTCGTAAGATATTACAAATATCATTATTTGACCTAGCGATATTTGATCCGTTAGTTCAAAGTTAGGACTTAGTAGGGGGTCAATTTGTTTTTGCATACAGTTAATGTGCTTCAATGCGTAATTAAATACATGTTTTATAAAGGAGCAAACCTGATATTATTATAGATTGCTTTATGCGAGCTGTCAGAGTGTCATGATATTCAGCAGAATGTTGGCCTTAAGTTGACTTATTAAGATTAAATGTTGGGTATCAAGACGATATTATAGAACGTTCAATAACAATGATATTATTATTGTGTGACGTCATAATATAGACCGGGTTCTATCAAATAGTAATTAGTAATTACAAATAGTAAATAGTAATTACACAATGTAAACAATGTTGTAATTAAGCTGGATATTCAGCTACTTATTATTATTTCATGATTAGCAGCTAATTGATTAATAAAACAATGTAATGACTTAATTAATGTACCTGCTTCTACATATTCTGCTGCAGAGTTAATTATTCAATTCAGGGCGGCTATAATGCCAAGTACGTAAATCTACATGTTTAGCTGAATGGGAATTTGTTATGAATGCGCTACAAGTCACGTGACAGATTCCATAATCTTCACTTTTCCCGACCAATTAAATCATGACATACCGTAATTTTCTGGAATTTCGATACAAATATTCCTAATAAAGTTTGAACAAGGCACAATACTTAACTGCGCGTCAAAATCTTTTTATACTGATGACTCACATTAATATTGTTAGTATTCCTCCAATATTATTTTGAAGAATTTGAGCACTTCCCCCTCTTCGTTACTACAAATATTACTAGTATTTAATGGTGTTGAAAAGTTGATGGAGCTGAAACTTTAAAATTCCCAAGTACCTTGCGGAAACAAATCCTATTGCATTATTAGTAAAGCTTCTGGAAAAGTCGGCCATGTGTAAGGTGCAATTTGTCGTGAAACAAAATCCCTGTAATCTCTGTTACACCGAGTATTAATCTAATATTGATCGTTCCTGTGAGGCATGGGATGTGAATACTGGACATGTGATCTGAATACCTGCTGAGCAGGGAGGTCGAAACTCCTGTTAAATAGGGCTAAATAATTTCATCAATATCATTCATTTCCAACTGCGATAAGAGATACTAATTACCGAATCTAGTAAACCGCATTTGATTAGACACCATGGCGATTCTGGATTTTCAGTTTTACTTGCAGGGTTAATCAAATTAGTAGTCACTTAAGATTCTGGTAAATCAAGTAGGTGACCATAACAAGTCAGTCGAACCCAAAACTCGAAACAACGAACCAATACTTCATAATTACGACTTTTGCACCGGTGTAAAGTTGACACAATAATAGCTTTAAAGTAAATGTTTAATACAGTAAGAGGTGTGTTTACCAGAGTGTTTACCAGATCTTATAACGCACACACTCTGTCACCATGGTAACCCTCTATAATTAACATATTTCAATGTAAACAATAACTAACAGTATTGTGTTGCTACAATTAATAAACACCTGCCAACTAAAATACTTGTGAGAGTATAACTGGATAAATCCCTAAATCCAAAAAGTTGTAAATTTCCTCATAGTTCAATGTCCCCCCCCCCCCCCCCCCCCCCCCCCCCCCCTAAACATTTTTTTCCAACCTAAACATCTTATATCCTTAAAACTTTTTAAGAAGGTCGAAGGTCTTCTAAAAATATCCTCTTTTGCACCAGACTTACTCGGAAATCCAAAATTCCCTGTAGATTATTTGCCAAACTGCCGTCTTACTGGATATGGGTGTACACCAACTGCTAAATAAGAAGTTCAGATTCAAATTCAATGGTAATATCTTGCTGGTCAGAAATGGTACTATGTCTTATTTATGTTAACGTTTATCACATTTAAGGTATTCTGGAAAGTTACATCCTTTAATCGTGTGACACCTTGTAGTTTCAAATTTCTCTGATCTGCCTTCAAATCTGGGATATTAGAGTATTTTGTAAGTAATATTAGATTCCGATAGTAACCAACGTGGTATTCCTCACTTTGGTACCAAATAGAGATTCTCCATTAGTTAATCAATACATCTATATAATATAATCTTACATTCTGCGAAACAATTGAAACCCTGTAACATAAAGCCAGAAGATGAATCAGTAGAAAACAGTGTTCTGATATCCCAGAATGGTTTCAATTCCACAGAAATACTAACAAATACTCATTGGTTCGTGTCTTTTCACCCGGAGAGAACAAGCCAGTGAGGTATTTTATCACATAATACAAAGATTGAACATCCCCCGCTGCATTCCAACAAACTATTTGCTGGAATGACAGCGGAGTACTTTTAAAATGTCGCAACACGACGTCCTAACAGTCAACAAGGTATTCAGTGAAAAGTACTAGTCGTGTAGAAATACCTATTGTAGGAAGTCTTGTGTATGTAGAATGTGTGTAAATCGGTTGAGTAGTTGGAGTTCCCTGTTTATACATACAAGTGCATGTCTTTTGACCTCAACATACCTTTCTGAGCCACGAACTTGTCCCGGTACAGTTCTGATATTACGTTATCCTGACTGAGATTAACTTGCAAATGGGATCTGACTAGACACAGAAAGCTTTCCCAGTTGCTAATTTGGATATAATAGCCGTGTAATCCACCCCGCAACCCATACAACTACATATTAGGGGTTTAATACATTCCATGTGCCGACCTGCCTGGAATTTTATCTCAATTTTTCAACACTTAAAATATCTTCGTGAAGGTTATCTCCATTATCTTTAAATACTTAGAATATTTAAATAATAACAATGATCCCCTTCAGAGAGTTATTGGATGCAATGGAAGCCATGAAGAAGCTGGATGAAGAAAGAACGAACCTGGATACTGCTAGTAAAGAACTGGAGCAGAACTTGAAGGTTAGTTGATCTCAGGACACTGTCACGTGACATCATAACACTGTCACGTGTCCCATTATTATACTGCTAGTAAAGAGCGCGAGCAGAACTTGAAGGTGAGTTCACTTCAGCAATCCTGAGTCAGGATGTGTACTATAAAACCCGTAATAAGGTGCTTGTTGGGGATTACAGAAAACGTACGGAATTCGTGGATTGAGAGTCCAAAGGAAATTGAAAATGTTGTATGGTAGGAATTGCGTAGCAGCAAAGTTCGTGGAAATTGAACGAAAATTGTTCCGCTATCTGTTAGAGTTATTCTCTTAGGCATCGAATACATCTATAATCTATATTTATATTTATATATATAAATTAATTATCAGTCTGATTTATAACAAGGGTCTTACGTAATTTCGCTCTTTTCTGAATATTATTGGTGCGTACAAACGTATAATTTGCCTAAGAATAAGTTAATATTCCCTACAAAACATCATACAAGACCGCTTAATATTATCTCAGCTTATTATTCAAACATTTTGGAAGCCAAACTGTGCCTGCGTTCTTGTGAGGAATCCCATATTCCAAGGCTTTTAGGATATTTTAAGTTTTTAACATTACTAATATAACTCTGTCAGATTGGCATTTTCTAAGTGGGTTAATATATTGTATTATAATATGTTAGGGCTGTTAAAATTTGATTGTAGGTAAAGTTTTACATTGTTTATTATTATAAATAGTAGGTATCGTACGAGAACCAAGCTAGGGTTAAGGTAATAACCAATATCTGGACACGATACCAACTATACCAACTATACCAACTATACCTGTATAGTGAATCTATGTGTATCTATAGTGTATCTATAGTGTATCTCTGCTAACGTATACACTATAGTCTATAGTGTATAGTGTATACCCAAGCACCTAGCCATGGTTACCTGGTATATGAATTAAGATACAACTTATGATGTAGACACAGAGATCTACTTCATCATTAATACAACTAGTATTTTATCAAGATGCAGAGGGTGTGTTTATATATGGAGAGGAGTATAAAGATCAGGATACTGAATGTGTAATTTTTATAAACAACTTTCTTTCATTAATTAGCGACAAAATCAGCTCAGTTCTGTTACAGAAACATAATATCTCGGACTGTAACTCCGATTAATGATCACTCAGTGCTCCCATGAAATCATAGTCGGAAATTTCCCGCCAAAACACAGCTGAAAGTTGTCCACTACCTCTACCTGTACTCTACCCTGAGTTGTCCACTATGAGGTCAGTACCTCTACCTGTACTCTACCCTGAGTTGTCCACTATGAGGTCAGTAGTACCTCTACCTGTACTCTACCCTGAGTTGTCCACTATGAGGTCAGTACCTCTACCTGTACTCTACCCTGAGTTGTCCACTGTGAGGTCAGTACCTCTACCTGTACTCTACCCTGAGTTGTCCACTATGAGGTCAGTAGTACCTCTACCTGTACTCTACCCTGAGTTGTCCACTATGAGGTCAGTAGTACCTCTACCTGTACTCTACCCTGAGTTGTCCACTATGAGTTCAGTAGTACCTCTACCTGTACTCTACCCTGAGTTGTCCACTATGAGGTCAGTACCTCTACCTGTACTCTACCCTGAGTTGTCCACTGTGAGGTCAGTACCTCTACCTGTACTCTACCCTGAGTTGTCCACTATGAGGTCAGTACCTCTACCTGTACTCTACCCTGAGTTGTCCACTATGAGGTCAGTACCTCTACCTGTACTCTACCCTGAGTTGTCCACTATGAGGTCTCAGGTCAGTACCTCTGCCTGTACTCTACCCTGAGTTGTCCACTGTGAGGTCAGTACTTGCACAGTGTTGAAGGAATGTGAGGTCTCTAAACGGCCTGTCTTATCATTACTGACACTTCCTAACTAACCTTAATCCACCCTACATAAACTATTACAGTTTGACAACTACGTAATACGATAGCTAGTCAAGTGTAGAACCCCCGGCGCGGCAGAAGCGGCATTTTAAGCGGGAAATGTACGGTATTAACAGTAATATGCACGTCTATGGTAATATTCAAAAGCGTTATTATCACGAATTAGACAATAACTATTTTAATTTTATGGGGACCATACTCCGCAATACAATAGTTGGTAGCTAGTGGGACATCTACATTAGAATGACATACCATCTAGCCTGCTAGAATATATTGTACCTCGGCCCGCTAGTAATAACTAATAAACGTCCCAGTGTGCATTAGTTTTATATAGCGACTATTGGCAAGCCTACACTCAATAATTCGAATCTTATCGCTGATCGATATTGGCGGGCAAGTGAGTGACATTTAGTCGCCACATGTAATACTCCGCATGCAATACAAGCTTGTCGTACTGCATGACACGTCCTCACCGAGGAATCTCTCTCTCTGTAACATTTGCACGGTTTCCGTTCAACCTGATGTGAACAGGCAGAACTTGACAAGTGTTTCTTGAGGGTTTAAGGCATTTCTCTTGGGTTTAGTGAGGTTTTAGGGCGCTTTTAGGGTATCAGAAATATGTGCATATGTATGAAATATGTGCTACCAGTGCTGGAATGTGCATTAGCATGTGGTTTAACAAGTATTGCAACGTGTTTTAACTTTAACAGGAGTATTACTTGACGAGTATTGTTCTCCTAAATAAAGTTTACAATTTACTGTGTTTCAGAGAGTCGGCGAAGAGAAGGCCAAGCAGGAAGATTTAGTCAAAAAAGAGCAGGCAGAAAAAGGTAAGAGAACTATTAAATCTTAGATATTTTCAGATCTTAAAGTAAAATTAGTGTTATCGTGTAGAAGTTATCTTTAGTGAGTTTGTATCGTTAATGCTGGCTTTAGTTACATATCTTCGTCTGTAACTTCTAGATATTTTGTGATGAGCAATATTTTGTGATGACGTAGAGTATGAAAATATGGATAAGTCAGTAAAGCAGTAATGATGGTATTACTGACTTCAAGATATTATCTTGCTGTTCATTCAGTATGTAATTATGTAATTAGCATGAAGCTAGTGCAGGGCTTATTGTTTAAAGACGACAGTGGAGGTATTGCCACAGACACATCACACAACACTAACTTCTTTGGTATGCGATCTGCCTGCACTGCTAGCGTAATGGCCATATCTCCTTTTCAATTTCTTCGCACATTATACCGCATTACAAAAGTGTGCCATATTGTTCACTTTCAGAGTGCCAGGTTACAGTAATCTTTTTGTTTGTCTCGGAAGATGGTTATTGATAGGTTGAAGACGCATCATTGCTCGGCAACTAACACTATGGCAAATGCGCTGTTAGATACAACTGTCTTAAAAGATTCAACCAATACTACTGGTCATGTCAAATCATAACACTGAATATGGTGCATAACATGCATATTCACAATAGAACGTATCAATTTTAGTTGGGCCACCTTAGATTAATGACAGGGAATGCTGACCATGCTATAATGAGAACCCTTTATAATAACAGAGTAACAGGTAGATTACTACAGGACGCAGGTAGATTACTGCAGGTAGATTACTGCAGGTAGATTACTGCAGGTAGATTACTGCAGGTAGATTACTGCAGGTAGATTACGCAGGTAGATTACTGCAGGACACAGGTTACAGCTTCGTTAGATTATGTAACTTTTGTTAAAGGCTGTCAGATACCCTTAGATACAGTCCTTTATGTTAATACTTAATTTTATCCGCTAATATAGTCTTAATATCTTAGTACATCAGCGCTCTTTGATATTATCCACAAGTTAAGTACTTATTCTCTCTAGAGTCTTCTGTACAGTGTTCTAGTTCAGGAAAACAACAATTTCAGGAAAACAACAATTTTATTTAGTATCAGTTACAGCAAACAAAAAATATATTTTATATAATATAATATAACTAGGACGAACTTTAGTTTAGAAATCTTGGGGGACTTGGAGTAGCAAGAGATTGACTAGAAGGTATATACCTTTTACCAAAAACGTCGAAAAGAATCCTGGGTGATACAGGATCGGAGAGTACAGACCATAAAGTTTACGCACCCACCTTTGCCTCCAGAATTCTTGGTTGGTTGAAAATGTATGCTAACTTGGTCGTTTATACTCCAAGTCCCTTTGTTAAAAGAAGTAATATTATGTACGTCTGGAGTTAACTTCATTCAATAATAACAATATCAATATAGTCAATATCAATATCAGACTAAACTATCAAATAAATTATCAAATATTATTTGTTAATTCGATCTGAATAAAAATTTAGTTAAGTTAAGATATTAAATAATTAAAAACATTACAACAAGTGGTTAAAAACGCCCAAAATTGATCTGAGAGCTTTTCAGTCTATAATACAATCATGATAGTAATATTAAGTGTGTTAAGTGTTGTTCTACAAGCTTCTTACAGGGTTACAGGCTTCTTACAGGGTTAGCTTACAGGGTTAGCTTCTTACAGGGTTACAGGGTGCATCATTTATTCTTTCTACTTCCTTTTAGCTACTACTCAACTTTCGTTTTCTCCAATTACAACCAGCATTTGCTAGAATTTACAAAACTTTGCACCGTATACTTTACAGTTTACAATGTATAAACTTGTACCTTTATTCTAAGCAGCTTCTACGGTCCTAAAGTTCACCTTTCTGAGGAACTGTTCGATTCTAAAGTAAGACTTTTAGAAAATGATATTCTACTGCTAGTACTTATACTACAACTAGTACTACTAGTACCTTTAGGTTTAGCAACCCACCAAGCTAATCTAGTAAAGGGGTACTTTACAATGTGAATATCAGATAATATGTGTAATAATGAGAGTTTATAAATACTGTTTATCAGTACCTACCCCTACACGCCAGACTATTTGACTTGCTGTACCACGTAAACTTGCTTTACCACGTGACCTTGCTATATCACGTGAACCTCACAAATCTTACATCATTTAGGGACCTCCTGCATACTCTCATGAAAATAACACTGCAAATTGGTCTCTCACAAAAGAAGGGTCTCCAAAATACACTGGCAGTACTAGAACCGACGCGGAGCAAGTTAGATTATAAAGTTTCTTTTTGGCCCCATGCCAAAGTAATTAATATCCACCACACAGAATATAGATAAGATTATCATGAGTATCAACTTCGCAAAACAACAAACAAGGAAGTCGAGCTCCTTTCAAATGTCTCTCCATTAGCTCTAGCTGTAGTGGGGGGGGTGTCACGTCCGTCTATGTCCGCTTGTCTCATAGTATCCAATAAGGACAGGACATAGGCGGACATAGACGGACATAGGCGGACATAGGCGGACATAGGCGGACATTAATGGACACCTAAATTGCTAAATAAAATGTTCAATTTTTGCTGTTATAGGGGATCATGTTTTTTGTCCGTTCGGTACCCTATATTTTCAAAACGGACAAAAAATAGAGCGGACAAAAACGGACAAAAATGGACAAAAACGGACAAAAATGGAAATAACATTTAGATGCTTCCTCCTCCTACTCTTCCTCCTCCTCCCCCTGGGTCTTCCTGATCTTCCTCAGTCCTCTTCCTCGTCCCCTCCTCAGTCCTCCTCCTACTCCTCCTCCTCGTCCTCAGTCCTCCTCATCAGTCCTCAACAGTCCTCCTCCTCCCCAGTCCTCCTCCTCCTGAGTCCTCCTCCTGAGTCCTCCTCCTGGGTCCTTCTCCTCCTCTTCATCCTCCTCCTATTCCTCCTCAGTCCTCAGTCCTCCTCCTCATCCTCCTCCTCAGTCCTCCATCCTCCTCCTCAGTCCTCCCCCAGTCCCCCTCCTCCTCCTCCTATTCAGTCCTCCTCCTCCTCCTTCTCAGTCCTCCTCCTCCTCCTCCTCCTCCTCTTCCCTCTCAGTCATCCTCCTCAGCCATCCTCCTCAGTCCTCCTCAGTCCTCCTCCTCAGTCCTCCTCCTCCTGGGTCCTCCTCCTCCTCTTCATCCTCCTCGGTCCTCAGTCCTCCTCCTCCTGGGTCCTCCTCCTCATCCTTCTCATCAGTCCTCCTCCTCCCCAGTCCTCTCCCAGTCCCCCTCCTTCTCCTCCTCCTATTCAGTCCTCCTCCTCCTCCTCCTCCTCCTCAGTTCTCCTCAGTCCTCCTTCTCATTTCTCCTAAGTCCTCCTCCTGAGTCCTCCTCCTGAGTCCTCCTCCTCTTCCTTCTGAGTCCTCCTCCTGAGTCCTCCTCCTCCTCCCTCTCAGTCATCCTCCTCAGTCATCCTCCTCAGCCATCCTCCCCAGCCATCCTCCTCAGCCATCCTCCTCAGTACTCCTCTGTCCTCCTCCTTCTCAGTCATCGTCAGTCCTCCTCAGTCCTCCTCAGTCCTCCTCCTCCTGGGACCTCCTCCTCGGTCCTCCTGGGTCTTCCTGATCCTCCCCAGTCCTCTCCCAGTCCCCCTCCTTCTCCTCCTCCTATTCAGTCCTCCTCCTCCTCCTCCTCCTCAGTTCTCCTGGCCTCAGTCCTCCTTCTCATTTCTCCTAAGTCCTCTTCCTGAGTCCTCCTCCTGAATCCTCCTCCTCTTCCTTCTGAGTCCTCCTCCTGAGTCCTCCTCCTCCTCCCTCTCAGTCATCCTCCTCAGTCATCCTCCTCAGCCATCCTCCCCAGCCATCCTCCTCAGCCATCCTCCTCAGTACTCCTCTGTCCTCCTCCTTCTCAGTCATCGTCAGTCCTCCTCCTCAGTCCTCCTCAGTCCTCCTCCTCCTGGGACCTCCTCCTCCTCCTCCTCCTGGGTCCTCCTGGGTCTTCCTGATCCTCCCCAGTCCTCTTCCTCCTCCCCTCCTCAGTCCTCCTCCTACTCTTCCTCCTCGTCCTCAGTCCTCCTCATCAGTCCTCAACAGTTCTCCTCCTCCCCATTCCTCCTCCTCCTCCTGGGGCCTTTTCCTGGGTCCTCCTCCTGGGTCCTCCTCCTCCCGGGTCCTCCTTCTCCTCCTCAGTCCTTCTCCTCCTCCTCCTCAGTCCTCTTCCTCCTCCTCCCTCTCAGTCATCCTCCTCAGCCATCCTCCTCAGCCATCCTCCTCAGCCATCCTCCTCAGTCCTCCTCCTTCTCAGTCCTCCTCAGTCCTCCTCCTCAGTCCTCCTCCTCCTCAGTCATCCTCCTCAGTTCTCCTCCTCCTCCTCCTCCTAGGTCCTCCTTCTGGGTCCTCCTCCTCCTCCTCCTCCTGGGTCTTCCTGATCCTTCTACTCCCTCTCAGTCATCCTCCTCAGTCATCCTCCTCAGTCATCTTCCTCAGCCATCCTCCTCAGCCATCCTTCTCAGCCATCCTCCTCAGTACTCTTCAGTACTCTTCAGTCCTCAAAATGTTTGTCCGCTAATGTCCACCAATGTCCGCTAATGTCCACCAATGTCCATCCAAGTCCGCCAATGTCCGTCCGGGTCCGCCAATGTCCGTCCGAGTCCGCCAATGTCCGTCCGAGTCCGCCAATGTCCGTCCGTGTCCGCCAATGTCCCAAAAAACACGTCCGTTGTCTCATAGAATCCAAAAAGGACAGGACATAGGCGGACATAGACGGACATGACACCCCCCCCTGTAGTCTAGCTGTAGTCCAGGGACTACCGGGACTTATCTGATATATAAGGTTCTACTATAAGGTTCTAATATAAGGTTCTACTATAAGGTTCTACCTATCTTACTAACTTGTATTACAAGATAAGAAGATGATGAGCACGCGGTAGATCACGTGTCAGAGACTATTTAATCTTCAGTTCTATAACACATGGCTCCACTACCATAAATGGTAATATCTCAGTTAATTTAACTTTAAACG